CTGGGGGGGGGGGGGGGGGGGGGGTGGCTGTCGAGGGAAGCGCGGACCCAAACAAACCGAGCAAATCGGGCACTCGGGGCGCCAGTGCTCTGGCCAAATCAGTCTTTTTTCTCGGTCCGAAACTTAGGCCCAGAGTGCGCAAGTGCATGATGTATCGATTCAGCAATAACGGGGTGTATTGGTCACCAGTCGGGCGTGGGGACTTGCAGCAAACACAACACGAATGGGACAAATAAATGGACGTTTGAGCGGCAGGTAGGGCTCGACGGTGTGGGAAGGTTGCTGGGGGTGGTTGGCTCGGTTGGGAGGGGCCGATCTTGGCCGTTGGCGAGTGGCGGCGCAGAGAGAAGGCGACACGATTGCCTGCAGGGAGGCATTCAATGTGTTCGGGCGCCCGAGGCAGGCAGACGGAAGGGTGGGTGGGTACTATCGGTAACTGGGCCACCTATTGTGCCTTCTAGGCAGGTCGCACGGCCTGGTTGTTTGTCTGACCACGCCCGGCCGTCGTTGCCTGCTCCTCGACTCGTGCAACGAGATGGGCGCGAGGCGTTTCTGTCTCGGGTGCCGGCCGCCTCTGTTTCGAGTGTGCTTTTGTGATGCTGGAAAACGAGTCGTCGCATCCACTCGGCGCGCGGCGAAGCGTTGATGACAGGCTCTCGTCGCTTCCAGAATGTGATTGGTGGCGGGCGGCGAGCAGGCCGTTCCAACCAGGCAGGCAGGCAGCCAGCCAGCCAGCCAACGCCATCCTCCAGCCTTTTCCGGAGCCCAGACTGGCAACTGACCACCTAGACAGCGTGCAGCCCGTCCGAGGTGTACGTAGGCCTGTGCTTGTGCTGTGTTGTGCTGTGCTGTGTGTCTGGAGCCTTCACACCGTAGACCGCTCTGGCCGCCACCCCTGCGGGACGGTACATGGGAGCCGATGGGCGACCGTAAGTAAGCCTGACACAAATGATTCCGAATCAAGGCCAAGGACACCTTGGTCGCACGCTGCAGCAGGCAGTCAGAACCATCATAGGAGGACAGCGCAGCACGCGGCCTCGCACTCGCTTCAACTCTGGCCCTGACCCGTTGCATCCAGAGTGAATGGCAGGGCTGGACTCGGCCCACTGGCTGACCAACCCTCTGGGAAACAGGCCGCCACGCCAGCCAGCCGGCTCCAGCTGTTTCCATCCATTCGATTGCTCGGGCGTTTGCCACTGCGTGCGTAGCCGACAGCTGCCTGCCTCCCTCCCGGGGGCGTGAGTGGCACGGATACAAGTACCGCTACCTGCAGCCTGCAGCCTGCAGTTAGCATCCCCTGGTCACCAAGCCGTCATCGCAGCGCGGCCATTACACGCAAGCCCCAAACAGCAGAGCAAACTGAGCAACCAGCTCGACGCTGCCCCCGCCCCACCTTCTGGCCGCCTCTTTAGCTCGACCCAATCAGGGCCAGGCCTTGCCTTCCCGCCTCCACGTCTGCCCCGCTGGTCACGCTCCTGCCTGCCTCGCCCACTCCCAGTGCTACTGCGTCTCCGCCTTTTCCCCTTCCTGACCGTCCTCCAGCTCGCCCTTCTCCGCTTCCCACCTCCTCACTCCGACAGACCGACCCTGAGATCAAGAGGTCAAGCAATCCACCGGTTGATCTGGTCTCGACGCCGACTCTCGCATTTGTTGTTTCTCCATCACCCAACATCCTTTCTCCTGTTGCCCGACAGACTACGCATTTTTATCGTCCTTTTGACGAGAAACAGGTTTGTGCACTCTCGTCGGTCCTGCCTTGTCTCCCTTGAACCATCAGTCGTCTCGCCGCCCGTCGTCGGTTGCAACCCGTTCACCACCGTCTCCGAGCTGGCTGTGCTGTCTTGGCTTTCACTCCGACGCTGGCTCGCTTTTTCCCATCTCAATCCCAATCTCGGCCTCGATCAACTCGGCTGACCAACTCGACCTAGCAATCAGGCACTCGGGCATTGCCGTCACCATGGCATCGTCCTCGGCGACCGGTCCGGACACCATCATCAGCCTCAAGGTCACCCATGATGGCGTCATCAAGAAGCTGAAGCTTCCGCTCCGCGACCTCGGGGCCAACACGCTTGATTCCAAGGTACGTCATGTAAATGCGTCCACGGTCGCTTCTCCCTCGATGGCCATTCAGCGCTAGGGCGATGGATCGGATGCGAGTGCAATCCACTCAAGTTGCCCGTTGCAGCCGAAATGCCCCCCTCGAAATCATCAATCCATCATAATTTGGAAATATTCGAGATTACTGACTTCCGTCACCGCTGTAGCTTCGAGACATGCTTGTCATTTCGCCTGACACTCAATGCACGACTGAGCGATACTCGGATTCGGCTGCCTCATACGTCACGCTTGATCCCACAAACGCACCAGTGTTCAAGCAGCTCTACCGTGCTGCCAAGGCAAAGCAGAAGCTCAAGCTTCGTGTCACAACCATCATACCGCCCTCCCACCATGTCCAGGAGGCCGAGCCCGAGCCTGAGTCGAAGCATGCTACGCCCAATGTCGCCCCCCGACCGGTGACGATTGAGGATGTTCCGGACGCTGCCGAGGCCAAACCAGTCGTCCCTCCAAAGTGCGCTGGCATTCTGGTCGAGCCCCCGTTCGACGCCGCTGCCATCCTCGCTAGGGCTCGCGCTACCGAGGCTGATCCCTCACTGGCGCCTTCGGCAACTCCGCGGAGTTTCCAGGGCCTCAAGGACGAGCTCGACAAGATGGCCAAGAGGCATCAGCAGTGGCGTGAGGAAAACCTTGGCTCGGCCGACAACAAGCCATCGGAGCGCGCCCGCACGGAGCTCGCGTCCCTGTTGGCGAGTCTATCAGCCAGGACCGCTGCGACCACCCCCCCTCCCATCCCTCCCCGGCAGGCTCCCACCGGTGATGTTGAGGCCCCCAAGCCTGCAGCACCGCCTGCCCCGGCCAAAGAGACACAGTCCGCCGCGGTTCCCCGGCCTCCGTTCGCCGTTTACTGCAACAGCTGCGACAGGGTGATCCCCGACACTCACTACCATTGCTCCACGTGTGACGACGGCGACTTTGATCTGTGCCAAGGTTGCGTTGACATGGGCATCGCATGCTACGGCGATGATCACTGGCTGATCAAGCGCATGGTCCGCAACGGCATGATTGTTACCAGCACAACTGAGCGCAAGGCGCCAATCAAGGCCACTGTCGAGGCCGTCCCTGCTTCGAGCTGTCCCGTTGCAGAGCCAAAGGCCGCGCCCAGCCCGTGCCGTCAAGCGGCACGGGTTTCGGAGGCCCCGGCACCCACCTCAGTGGTCGTTCCCGTCTTCAAGAACTACCTGTACCAGAACGTGCGTACGTGCAACAACTGCGTCCAGGAGTTCCCGGAGCATCAATTTGTGCACTGCACCACCTGCTTTGATTTTGATCTCTGCAAGTCGTGCTTTGTCAAGGACTCGCACGGCCACCACCCCCGTCACGGATTCATCCCCGCTGTCGAGGGAACCGCTCTCGACAGGGATGTCGCGTCCCGGCTTTCTCCTGGCCGCAACCAGAAGCACAACGCTATCTGCGATGGCTGTGACAAGGTAAGATATCCATGCTCCCCCGGGCGTTGCCCGGTCCTTTTCCTCGCCATTGAAATGCTGACTTTATTCTTGTAGTTCATCCAAGGCGTGCGCCACAAGTGCCTTGACTGCCCTGACTGGGACTACTGTGCCGACTGCGTGGGCAACGCCGGCTTCATTCACCCGAACCACCGCTTTGTGCCTGTCTACGACCCGCTCCGTGATGTAAGCGCCCGGAGCGCCACTCGCCAGGTCCACGTCGGCATCCACTGTGACGGGCCTCTCTGCCGATCTACTGGCCGCCGCTTTATCCATGGAGACCGTTACAAGTGTGCTGTCTGCCACGACACAGACTTCTGCGCCAACTGCGAGGCCAGCCCTGCAAACACCCACAACAAGACTCATCCCCTGCTCAAATTCAAGACCCCTGTTCGCAACGTAAATGTCGTTACGACCGGAGAGCGCGAGGACGGAAGGAAGATGCCCGTTATGGGGGATCGGTTACGCCGTACACCAAGCCCGCGTGCCGTAGAGGCCGCTGCTACCAAGATGCAGAACATCACAGAGGCCCCAGCTCAGGCCGTCTTGTCCGTAAACGACGCGCCGCCTCCCACTCCCAAGGCCGAGGTCAAGCGCGAAATCAAGGAGGAGGTTAAGGAGGAGCCCAAGGAGCTCGCTGTCAAGGAGGAGACTCCTGTTGAGACAAAGGCTGCTGAGCCCGAGAAGCCTGTGGAGGTTGCCGAGGAGCCTGAGATCGTGGCTGAGTTTGAGTGCGACACCATTGCCGACGGCACTGTCATGCCCCCCAACCACATCTTTGAGCAGACTTGGGTTCTCCGCAACGCTGGCAAGGAGGCCTGGCCTGCCGGATGCTCCGTCAAGTATGTCGGCGGAGACTACATGGGCCACGTCAACTCGAACCACCCCGCTGGAGTCAAGGAGCTCATCTCGGCATCCGAGTCGACCATCTGCTACGCCCCGCTCGCCCCCGGCCAGTCCTTCTCTTTCACTGTCCTTCTGCGCACACCTCCCCGTGACGGCAAGGTCATCTCTTACTGGCGCCTCACGTCTCCTGCTGGTCTCAAGTTCGGTCACCGTCTCTGGTGCGATGTTGAGGTCAAGACCCCCAAGCCGGTTGAGGAGACCACCCCGGCTGTCGAGGAGGCGCCCAAGGAGGTCGAGGCTGCCGCACCCCAGGCCCATGAGAGCCAGATGATCTTCCCCAAGCTCGAGAAGGAGTCGCCTGTCGCTAGCGTCCACAAGTCTATCGAAACCGAGGCACAGGAGTCTTCCGAGGCTGCCGAGGAGTTCGAGGACTGCAACGAGGATGAGGAGTGGGACGAGTCCGAGGACGGCTTCATGACTGACGAGGAGTACGATATCCTGGACGCCTCTGACGAGGAGTTTTCGGATGACTCGCAGAAGCAGCCCAAGAAGTAAGGTAGCAGTCCTGTCCGTCGCGGATTCAACAGAACGACGTGGACAACATAGGAACGGAAAACCCACCGCCGCCCTTCGCTTTTGATATTTCTTCGCAAACAATCTGGATACGAGGGCCAATAAGGAAGGAATGGGGATTGCTATGGATTTGCTGCCTTTCTTTTTGTCTCGACTTTTTCACTCCTGCTCCTTTTGTCATATTTCGTCTGTATTTCATCATGCCATGTTGTCTGGGTCATTTCAGCCCGACATGGATTCTCTTGCGACGGTCTAATTCTCCTTCTTGTCTCTTGCTGTCCGCTCTCCCTCCTGAATTATGATGGGCCATGTCCCATTGTGAGAGTCTCGCCCCGGCCTTAACAGATTGAACGATTGCCGGTGGCACTTGGAATGAGCCTATCGGAATGGGGGAGACGACATGTGTTCGCTCACTTAACTAGGTTACATGTTCACTATAGTGTCAGATTGTCAACTGAGCCATCGAAAAACTGCGTGGCAAGCCGTTGAATGCGTCCAGATTGCATGTTGCATTGCATGTTGGACAAGATGGGTGAATGGACATGGGTCACGTCAAGTTGATTCAACAACAGAGGCGACCAAAACGAGCTTGTAGCTTATGTCGTTGATTGCTTTATAGCTCCTGTAGAATGAAGGAAATGTTTCCAGTGCAGTTCTGGCACCAAAGCTCGTGGGCTTTCTACTCGAACGTGACCTTTTTGCCTTGTGGCGCCACGGCGGCTCCCGTCAACCTGGCGACGTTGATGTCGTTGTGGTAGCTGATGGCCTTCTTGACGTCGCCGCCGACTGCTGCATCAGATGCCGGCCTGTCCGGCCTGTTTGCATCCGGTGCCGTCCGGCCTTGGGGCTTGCCCGTCCTCACGCCCTTTGGAGCATCCTTCCCGAACCGCTTCTTGTAGCGGGTCTGGTCGTCCTCGGCGAGCTGGATGGTCAGCGTCCTGCCCCTGAACTTGTTTACCCACCACTTCCGCATCCTTGTCGGCTTCGCCGCGGCCGCGGCCGCCTCCCTCCTCTTCTTCTTTTGTGCCTTCTTCTGGGCCTTGGCGTCGTCGGCGTCGCTGTCGTCGTCATCATCACCGTTGTCGTCGTCGTCGTTGTCGCTACCCTCCCCGTCCTCGTCCCCGTCGTCGCCCACAAAGTCGGCCTCAGTCTCAACAAGCTCCTTGATCCTGACGAACCCCTGTACCGCCCACTGCGCCCCGGCGGGCTCGGCGAACTTGACCCAGCCGTAGCCCTTGCACTTGCCCGAGTCCTCGAACGTGGCCACCTTTGCCCACTGGATGGCACCGCACTTGTCGAAGTGGGCCCAGAGGGAGTCCTCGTTCGCGTCGAAGGGGAGGTTGCCGACGTAGATCTTGCTGTTTGTGGACGCGGGCGCGGCTGCGGCGGCGGCGGCGGCGGAGGCATCATCCCCTGCGGAGCCGCCGTTCGTCGTGGCGGAGGCGGCGGCGGCGGTGGCCGCGGGCCGGCCCTCAAAGGACTTGCAGTCCTTGATCAGCAGCTTGCGGCCGTTCATCTCGCTCTCGGACAGGGCGATGGCGGCGATGCAGGCCTCGAACGTCGCAAAGTCGACGTACGCGAACCCCTTGTTCTCCCTCGGTGGCGCCTGCTGCTGCTGCTGCTGCCCCGCGGCGGCGGCGTCGCCGCTACCGCCCTCGCCCCTGCCCTCCCGCTTCAGCTTGGACAGCGGCAGGTTCACGCGCGTGATGGCGTCCTCGGCGATGGCCCCGCCCGAGCTCTCGACCAGCCACCTGAAGAGGTCGGCGCGCGTCGTGGTGAAGCGCAGGTTGCCGATCCAGACACCGTACTTGGAGCGCTCCTTTTTGCTGCTACCGCTGCCGCCGCCGCCGCCGCCGCCGCCGCCCTCGACGTCGCTTTTGAGCTGGTCTGGCAGGTCCTCGTCGTCGTCGTCATCGTCGCGGCCTTCGGCTCGCCTCTTCTTGTCCCTCTTGGAGGAGGACTTGGTCTTGAGGGGCTTGCCCTTCTTGAGCGCACGGCGCGCCTTCTTGCTCGGCGGCTCCGGGAGGTTCAGGTCCACCTCGATCTCGTCGGCGGGCGCCGGCTTGCGCTTCTTGCTGGACTTGGCTGCCTCGGGCGCCGGGGAGCTCGAGGCCGGGGACGAGGGCTCGTCCTTGCCGGCTGCCATTGTATATGATGATGTGCGACTGTGTATTCTAGGTGGACGTTGTTTCAGGACATCGGCTATCGCATCAATCGGAAAGGAGTTGGCTCATGCGGTGTCTGTCTGCACTTCCGTCTGTCGCTCTTTTTTCAACATCTTTTTTTGCCGATTTTTTTCCCCTGCCCGCCCACCTAAATTCTGGGCGTCGCGAATTTTGGCTTGCTCGATAAGCGATAAGCGCTCCCCGGCAGGGGGCATTGCAGTATGGTTCTCTGGCGTCCCACCTCCGCAGCCTTGCACCCTTGTAACCACACCCATCACTTCCTCTTCGGCGTCGTCCTGGGCCCAGGTTTTTGGCATTCCCTTCCTTTGGGATACTCCCAAGGTATTCAGTTGTTTAAATAGTTCGGTGTACAATTTACCCCTTGTGTGTCGCTAAACCCCGATTGTGGATCAGCGCTACCAGTTGGTAAATCTTTTTTTTTTTTTTTTTTCATCAATGATCCCTACTAGGATAAGTCTCTCCTCATCGGGAGCATTGAGGTTAACGACACTCAAAGGAATGACCGAACAGGATGCGAGGGGACTCTATGACTAAATGGCATATGGCCCGACGAAGTTCATCTCTTAACCACCCACCCCGCCAAGCTGGTTGAGAGGTTTCGCCTGCTTATCCGCGTCTGTAAAGGATGCGATGTACCTCGACTGTTTCGTACTCGCTCGGGTTGTGGACGAGGCGGAAGGCGGTAGTGGGCAAACACGCCCTCGGTCGATGTTTTGCTGCCATAAACGGCCTCAGACCTTCGCCTACGCCAATAATCCGTCAAAACCGAGAATGGGCATAACTCATGCCTGATCAGCTCTCGGACCTTGACTCGGAAACCGAGGTCATGCTAAGCCCTTTGCCCGGAACAGGTGGTTTTATAAATGCAGGAGGCAGCCGAGAACCTCTCGCTCACTGGACCTGGTAGGTGGCGGCTCTAATGCCAGAAATCATGGAGGTGTTGAGTCACGTATAAGTGCTTTTGGGTACACAAGAGGAGAATAACGGTTGGAGCGCACTCGCAGTCTACCAATATCCCGAAGCCATCAAAGCCAGGCCGCTTCATCTCGTGGAGCATCACAATCCTCGTTGTCCAAAATCCCATTCAACGCCAGACGAGGGAAAAGAATATACATTCCGTCTAATAAGCCACCCTGTCTGGTCATTATCATTTATTCGTTACTCATACCCGGCCGCATCCAGTCAAAAGTACGGGAATACCACGCCTTGCATACCCCCATTTCTTCGTGATGGCCATGCCTTTCCTCGCCTCGTCTTCCCCGGCCGGCAGCAGTAGGAGAAGCAGAAGAAGGAGGGGGAGGAGCGCCAACACCACTTGCAGGGCGAGTCTATCTCGGGAGGACCCTGCGTGTGTGTGCTGGAGCCCGAAAGCATGCTCCTGCTTCCCAGCCCGGGATGTGCCGATCAATCCCAGAGGCGGCAGGACCAAACCGTGCCCCCAACAACTTCTGCCGCCTCCGTATGCCCCCCCCC